TGTGGAGGATGATTTTTACTGTGTCCTTTAAGATTTGCCCAAATAAGTAAGTTCTAGTTGTAATCTTCTAAGATCCAATGGCATTTCACCCATCTCAACCTGTAATGCAGAAACTGGAGTGGATTTTATTGCTCCACAGCAAAGTCTTAAAGCTTTGTATTGAATTAAATCTAATTTGCCTGTTTTAGAGGCAGACCAATAAATGATACACCCATAATCAAGAGTTGATCTGATTAGCCCTATATAAATAATTTATAAAGCTGTTCTGTCAGCACCCCAATCTTTACCCCTCAAGCATCTTAATATATTTAATTTTTTTTTTACATTTTTTCCCACCCTCTATCAGTACTGATCTGCCTTTTTTATTTCCCCAACTTTGGCATGCACCTCATCAGCTGATGGAGAACACCTGTGTCAGAATCAGTGGTGTCTCCACCCTTGGTATGGACAGCAATCATGGCCTCAAACAAAAAGAATAATAATCAGAAAACATGAACAACCCAAATGAATCCAAAAAGAAATTCAAGGAAATAAATCCAAAACACCACAACAAAATTAAATAAATGCATAGCAACATGCAAAGTAAACAAAAACAAAACATGCAAATAGTCAAAAAACATAATTAAAAAATAAAAAAGGCCACATTGTCACAAAAACATGACAACAAAACTCTCAGATACTTGACCTCTGTCGGTTGAGGCAGAGACTCATCCCCAACTTGGAGAGAGCATGCCACATTTTTCTGACAGAGAACCACAGCACAGCTTTGGTCTTTTTTTTTTCTTTCTTTTTTTTGGTTGTGGTCTATTCTCAGGAAGTGCATGAAATCCCAAAGCTCCAGCATCTGTTTGATATTTTTGGTCAGGCAGCTGTTTGGGGCAGATCTTGTGAAGCTCATTCACGTTTGTTCAAGGGATGCACCAATAAATCGGCTGGCCAATTCATCTGCACTGATTTCCTTAATTTTGGGAGATCGTAGATTGGCCAAAGTTGAGATTAATGGTAAAGATCTGCTTCTCATCTACCTTCACAAAAGTCAGAAAATCGGCAACTGTCCCCTTTTACTCTGCTGTGAGCTATGCCTGATGTCCACTTAAAACAAGTTTGTATTGTTTTAGGGTTATTGTTCATTGTTTTTCAATAAAATAAGATTGGAACATTATAAGAGTATTGTGACCTTATTTAAAATATTGGTATCGGCCAAAATCAGAATCGGCAGGTCCGATTTTTTTTAAAGATCATTGATCAGCCAAAAAACTGCTATCGGTGCACCCCTAGTTTATCCCCAAACTTTAACCTAGTAGGCCCATCTTTGACCTCCTTGTAGGCATGATTTGATTATCTGCTTAATACGACTCATGAATTGGTTATCATGACTCTATCAGTGTGGTAAGATACCTAAGAAATATGATTCTCTTCATCTAATGCAAACTCATCTCCATCAACTGAGCTATTTTTCTCATCACTTTGGCAATAAGAATTATCTCAGTATTATTGAAGCTGTAAAACTATCTACTCTAGGCCTTGGTACCATGGTTTATTAGATGTGGGATAGTGGTTAAGTCAGAAACCTAGTTTGTGTCGGTGCAAGCAATCATCTGTGTTCATAGTTCAGCTGCACCAAAGTGTTCCAATCAGGGGTCTATAGTTTTCACTACAACTGTAGGTACTGGTGCTGCACTGATTTGATTTGTTAACTGTTTGCTCAAAAGATAAGACGAAGAAACAATATTTGTGATTTTGTACCAGAAATTTGATTCCTTTCTAAGTGGTAAATTATCCAAATGTTGATAGCAACTGGTCTCTTCACAGTACTGCCACAAAACAACAATTCCTTTGCTTATAGTCTAACCTGCCATCTTTGTTTTTTATTCTTTGTTGTATCTTTGTTGTCAACACTTGTCTCTTGTTATGTTGATGATAAGCTAAAACACTGGAGGATAATATCAGTGACTCCACGTTGGGTGGTTTTGATCATGCACATGAAGATTTCTGAGCACTAAATCAGATTAAAAGTACACCTCAGGTTGGTCCATGATATTAATTAGCTCATTCGGGTCTGCCACATTTGCTCCATCACACTTAAGCTCTCTCATTTGAAGATTGCCCAAAGCTGTTGTAATTGTTTCATCTGGTGAATTGGTACTTTTCTCACATGAACAAGATGTTTGTCTGACATTGGACATGAGCTTCTCGTGTTCGGACTCTGAGGTTTTCAATATCAAGGTGACTTAGTTTTCTTTTCTCTCCCTGTGCTAAATCATTGCAACGAAAAAAAACAAAAAATATCGTCAGTCGGACAAATTTTTGTTATCAAGGGCATATTGAGGGCATATTGAGGCATCCTTACTATTTCAGCCAAATTACTAAATGACTCAGGTTTATTAGTTTACACATTAGTTTATACATGAGAAGACAAAGTGGATAATAATAGGTGCTACCATTCAAATGAATGGAGGCTCTGCTCTCCTCTTTGAATTGGCAAGTTAATATGAGAATAAAGTGATATTATTACAAAATAAAACCGTAATATTATTAGAATAAAGTTATAATATTATGAGAATAGAGTCCTAGTTTTATGAGAACTCATACAAGGACAAGCAGTCTGACCACGGCATTAAAGTGAGGAATGTTGAGCGTCTTGTGAAGATGTACTTTGGTATTGGTTTTACAAACACGGAAATACTTGATCTTTTAATATATTAGCATCAGACTATTATCGGTAGCTGTAATTTGAAGTGATTG